TGTTGGGGGAAGGGTGGGGGAGGGGTGTTGGGGAAGGGTGTGGGGGCAGCTCTTTGATGGCTAATGAATAGTTTATTGATATGCAACATCTAAATTAACGAGTTTAAAGGATATATGTTACATGTACCTTACACAGAACACCTTTAAGTTGTTTGATTATTTCAGTAATCAAGTAAATATCCTGTGTGTCCCTGTTCTACTGCAATAAAACAAAACAGAATTCCGTTGTAGTACAGTGGGACAATGACTGGGTCTGGGACTAATACTATCACTGATCCTGTAGCTCAGTTGGTAAGAGTGACCATATCGTGATTCGAGATCATGGGTTAAAATACTGGGCTAGTCTCATTATATTTTTACTATCAGAATACTATAATTGTTTATCTTTGTTGTTTACTCAATCTTAAAGTTCTGCAATATATGGGCTTCTCTCAGGAAACGTTTATTACTGCCATTGTCAGGTTGGTTTTGGCAGTGGTATGGGAATCCTTCAGCTATGTCAGGTTGGTTTTGGCAGTGGTATGGGAATCCTTCAGCTAAACTAAGTTAACACTCGGGCTATAACTAAATAGTGTATATACTGACGGACTGATACATACCTGGACTTGCAGCATTCGAATGAATGGGAATAAGGTGGCTAGTTTGTTTGAAAGGTCATCACCTCCATCTGTTCCCTCCTTGACCTTTTGACCTTCCTCACCCTGGGTGGTGGGCACATGTGCGGTGGAGCGCGTGTGTGTGACAGTGGGTGTATCGGTGTTTGTCTGTGTCTGTCTGAGTGACTCCGTGTTCGGTGTTACTGAGCCAGAGGAGGCCAGGGAAACTGAAATGTTGAAATTACTGGAAAGTCAGTTTATACCAATACAGACAACACAAATACAATGAAAACTGAAACAACAAATTAAGGAAGCAAGTGAAGTCCCAGCACTTCTCTGTAGCATTTCTAACAGAGTTCTAATCTGTTTGCCATTGGTCTGAATTGGAGCTGCTTGTCCATTTACTATAGGAAAGAGTTATATATGAACAAAAGATACTACACTACAAAGCAGGAAGCACTCTCACTCAGTGTATTTATCATGTTAATACTGTTATGCTCATTACTGGGAACCAATTGAAACTGTTCCAGTTTCCTTGCTAGAATGATTCTTATTTATGATAGGGATAGGAGACTTTCCTTCACCACCCTAGGAACATTTCCTACCAAATCTGGTATAAGATTTTTCAGGGATTATCTACAAGTTGTTTAAAGAAAACCTTTACAGACAACAGTAAACAGGTGACAGAAGGCAACTGATCTTAATACTTCAGGCCTGGTGATTAGCTAAAAAGGCCTGCAACATTTAATGGTATTTCTATAATTATTAAGGAAATAAAAAATCTTTTCCTGGAAAATAAGTTTACAAGACCTGTAAACTGTAAATCAGGAATCACCTCCATCACAAACCTTGAGATGTGTTTGTCTTCAAGGGCAGCGTGGCTTTCACAAGAGATGCGTCCAATGTCACGGTCTCCCTTCCCTGATTGGAGAGCTTCACATTGTTGTGTGGATCGTAAGAGAACCAGTTGATCAGAGCCGGGTCAAGTAGACAGACAACACCCTCCATACTGACCAGAAGTGCACTGGGAACTGTAAAAAATGTCAATTACCTCCCTTTGTCTGATAAATATCAATACAGCAAACAGCTCAGCCAATTTTTGACTATTGTGGTACTATTTCTAATACTGAAAACTCTATCGCAATACAGAGATGTAAGCTTGTGCTGCCCAGACTGACAAAACTGCTACACTTTGTCTCAAAGCTTAGTACTAAAATCTCGTCCCAGAGACTGATTATCTAACTCAAATAGATAATAAAATAGCATTGCTAAATAATCAAGTCATTTTCAAATGTGTGAAAACATTACTAGATTTAGGTACAAATAACAGTTCCTAGCTGAAATGATGGCAACTGATTATCTAGCAATGTTACAATGCATTTACTTTGCTACTTGTCAAATCATAGGTCAATATGATCACCTCAATATATAGTTGAACTTTCTCTGTTTTCGTCCTCCCGAATGAGGTTAAATTTATCATAACAGCAAATTTACGTACACAACATACAATGTACAGTAGTTACATATGAAGGGTAAAACTCTCAACAGAGGTCCCTAACTGATCATTACACTAGAGGGAGTACAC